CTTTCCAGTTTACGTAAATGTCTGTTATTCGGCTTGGATTTGAAAATAAATATCTGAATACAATACGACTGTATAGTCCGGTGACCTATATAACCGTTTTTTTCCTCTTCCCCACGACGGCATTTATTGGCTGATGCCGACTTCATACTCAGGAGCGACTTATAGTCCCGGCAAATACGGTATGTCCTAGATACTATGTGTTAATTGGGATCCTAATACACAAATACACAGACAAATATAAGACAAGACCACATCCAGAAAAAGTGGCGCAAAAATCCTTGATTATGCGGGCTAAAATCTTGATTATGCGATTAAACATGCGGGGTTCTTATGTGACTTTTACTGCGGTGGAAATTGCCGGGAGTCCTAGGAAATATGCCGGAAAGTTTGCTTAAATATGCGGGGGAAAAGAATAACAACAACGTTTTTTTGAAACTTGGGCTGTTCTATTTATTCTCTCTCACACACAACCTGCCACTAACGTTAAACCCTTTACTATTCATTGAAAACACATCTCAATGTTTTATTTATTGTAAAAGCAAAATTGGGCTATTTTAATCTCACACCAAACACCACCACCCCCCGCCACACACACACCACACACCTCACACACACACACACACACACACACACACTTCTCCGGCTCATTCTGTTTTCATTTACTCGTTCGTTATCTGACCAGCTTCAATCTTGTAGGCTACTCACTTCGTTTCTTGTAGCCCTCGAAAGGGTTTTGGAGGTTGATCCCTCGGTGAACGGGAGTTGAATGGCTTTCTTGTCCGCAGCAGCAGAAAGCATTTTCGAATGTTTGAATGAATCAAAGTGGGTCGCCACCGTCGATTTTCTCTTATGATGCAACACACAGTTGCACGGGGTGCAGAATAGTTTCCCCCCACTTTTTGCCCGGTCTTTAGTAGAAATGTTCGTTGATAAATGAGCTCTATACAGTGTTGTTTACATTCTGTGATGCGCGAGCTGATGACGTCACGTCAAGACGAGTTAACTTTTTTTTCTTCTCAACTTTGTGTGGAAAAATGCGGGGATTATGCGGCCTTTTGATAAATATGCGGCTTTTTAAAAATCTGCGCCATTTTGCTGATTATGCGGTAAATTCTGCGATCGCAGAATCGCGTTTTTCTGGAGGGTCTAATTAGCTTTTAATAAGACCCAAACCATTGTAAGTGCTTTGGCTAAAAAGCTTTTGGATTTTTGCTATAAAAGTGAGTTTTTTAAAATCACAAATGTAACCATAACGCATTTAGAGAAAGCACTTTAAAAACTATTTTCTGGCTTCATAGAGATCGTTTAAGGGTTAAACGTTTTTTATGCTGTAACCTTTATTTACATGTACAATGGGTTTCTAGGAAGTCCAAAAAGGATCATTTCTAGTTCAAATAAAAAGTACATTTCACATTGATCCTTCCCTGCTCTGTGGAGGCCACGGTCAGAGGCTCAGCTCCCTCTTTACGCCCGTCATCACCGCGCCCTCATGTTCAGAGCATTTCTTCTGCCAGCAGCGACTCTCTGAACCTCCGACCAAAACGAAAGCCCGGTCTGACACCCAGCGCCTCAGCTTTGAACACACCAGATAAGAGGCGGTGCTGCAAAACTGACGGATGCCTGGTGGAAAAAGCAGCGAGAGACACTCTGAAAAACAGACAAAATTGTCCGGAAGGATAACACAGATATTCTGGGTAACAACCTTGAGCCTGTCAACTTTGGCTCTCGGGATCTTATTCAGAGACTTAGAAATAAAATAAGAAAGCGGACGTTCTTCAGCGGGTGAAACCAACATGACATATCTATCCGGGGTGGAGGTGGATGTTGTTATGTTTTCTACTTCAGGTCACTCAGATAGCCCGACAGGTGAAGGTGCAGAAATGGCTGCTCATTGAGAAGAAGGAGTGTGGAGCTTATAGCCGCCGATGTTTCTAAGACGAGTCTTTGCTTGGCAAGGTCGTTGTGTTTTATTAGCACTAAAGTTTCAAACTGCTCTTTATCTGTTGAAGCAGTTAACTCTAAACTGTGTTTAAGCCGGTGTTTGATAGTAAAAAGGCACTGCAGTGGCACTTTCAGGATGCTAAAGCACAAAGTCAACACTTTCTGTGAGTTTAATTTAAACATCTGCACATATACTTGCAAGCTCAGAAAAGCAAGTTATCCAACAACATGTGTTTTAGGTGTTTATAAACATTGACTCTCAGACATTTGCAATATTTGCAAAAGATGAATCATTATCTCTAAGCCAATATACAAATAAGAACACAACTAAATATATGGAAAAGAAAAATGGCTTACCTTCAACAACAAAAACAATTCAAACTATGATTGGAAAACCATGATGGTGAATACATCAATCATCTACCAATGGAACATTTTGATCAGACTTTACCTTGGTTGCTGATTGGCTAATGGTTACACAAGCAAAAACATCGTTATGACATCATAAAGTGGCCAAAATCTGATCAGCTCATTTTCAGACAGGTTTTTATAGAAATGGATCAGGACAAAAAGAGAGAGAATCTTTGTTCCTGAAACTTTCAGAGTCTCTTTCCACAGAGGGGACGCATGTTGATGTAGAAGAGACGTGAAAAAGTGGATTTTGCATAATAGGTGACCTTTAACACGTCCTAACGTGTCTTTATCCCCCCCCCTGCAGGCTCCTTCATGATGGTGAACTCCTCGCAGCATTTCGGTGGTCAGCGCGCTCAGCTTCTCTTGCTCCCGCTCAGCGAGAACGACACACACTGCATCCAGTTCAGCTACTTCCTGTACAGCCGTGATGGCCACAGCCCCGGAGACCTGCAGGTCTTCATCCGGGTCAACGGGGGCCCCAAGGGCAGCGCCGTGTGGAATATCTCCGGCTCCCAGGGCCGCCAGTGGCACCAGGTGGAGCTCGCCGTCAGCACCTTCTGGCCCAGCGAATACCAGGTGAGAGCTGCACAAAGCTACACATTTACCCCAAAAAACACCAATTCAAATTCAAAGGCTTGGTGTTGGCAATGAACATCTTCTGACCTGAGCTCCTCCAACAATGCAACATATATAATAAAATACAGAAATACAAAATAAAAAGTAGTGCAAAAAGACTATATACAGTACATGTCAATAGAATATGGGATATGTTCAAGGCTTTGCACTACATGGCGAAGTAGTTATGGCTGGACATGGCCGTCTACCAAACGGAGGGTCAGTGGTTCAGTCCCTAGCCTCGGCAGACAACATGTCAAAGCAACAAACTCTACATTATTACATTGTATTTGGCTGATGCTTTTACCCAAAGCGACCAACATACACTTCAATATGGTAGACATTCATAAGGTAGTAATTTGGGGTTAACTATCTTCATACTTATAGCATTGAACCTGTAACTCCTGACATTACATTACATGTTAATTGTTAGACACTTTTATCCAAAGCGACTTACATATTAGTCAATACCGTGGACAATCCCCAGAGGAGCAACTTAGGGAGAAGCGTCTGGTCCAGGGACACAAGGGCTGCAGCGGGGATTGAACTTGTGCTCCCCTGATCCGAAGGTCAAAGCACTATCCCAGTGAGCCACAGCCTCCCTGATCTGCAGATCACCCAAAATGCAACATATTGCATGGCCAAAGGTGTGGGGGTGTTTTACAAGTTGCTTTGCATGGAGTGTCAGTAACGCAATATAAAGAGTCCAATTTGGTGCTACTGAATCTGATAAAGGTTTTTCTCAATTGTCTTCTTAATATGAGCTATGAAGTCCTGCATGCACACAAAATCTGTTCGATAGTTTGAGAGATTTCTGTGTTTTTTGAATCTCACTTGTTTAATCACTGATTTCCAATTGGAAAAAAGTTACGTCACAAGTGGGATATCAGCTTAAGGGCTGACATGAATAAATTCCACTTACATTTTCCAGTTAAATGTCCCTTTTCAAACCTTTATTCAACCTCAAACCTCGCCAATTATGTTTTTGGTTTGATGTGTTGGCATGGTGTTGGTTTGTCAGCAGGATCACAGAAAGACTTCAGGTTTGATTCTGTAGTGTATCATTGGCCAACAAAGAACCCATTTCATTTTGGAGCAGATCCTCATCATGGGCAGATACAAACATTACTCTACACTTATGGAAAGGACCTTGGCGGCTCTGCGTCCTTATGCAGTCTTAAGTGTTTCTCTGTACATTAAATATTAAAGCTGTGAAACCGGGGGGCTTTAAGATCAGTAATCCATCACACTCTATTCTGGCCTCATTTCAGCACCTCGTGAGAAATATAGAAATATTTCAGTTTTTTAAAATTGGATCCAAATGAAATGTCCCACCCACGCTCACTATCATTTGTCCAAAGTCCAAACATTTTAAACTGTATCTTTTCAATAAAACCCTGTCAAATGCTTCCTTTATTTCAGTGTTGCATGCAGGAGGAAGAACATTTGTAGCTTCAAGACAGTTTGTTCTGCCAATGTCGTTCTTCTGTTATGTAATAAATATAAATTGAAGCTCTGTCACTTGAAGTTAAAGGAGAACACCACAGATTTCTACCCATGAAGATCAGCTTGACAGAAAGACTACAGACACTCTTGTGAGAGGAAATTAGAAATGTAACCGGAAAGAGGAATTATGGGATATGTAGGATCTGGTGTTTTTGGCATTTGACGATTCCTCAGGACTTAAAGTCAGGATATCTCTACCTCTGCTGCTTTCGCATCTTTTTAATCAGCGTCTTCTGAACTTTATGAAAGTGAAAACCTAAATTGCTGGAGCAGCCGTTCATAAATCCAATCCTGTCCTCTCAGCAGTGCTGACAATATCAGCTAAGTGATAGCTATTAAGGTGACAGTCAGAAAACTGATTCTTATTTTGAGTGATTTCTCACTTCATTGATTTACTGTATGTTGTGAACTAATCATACTTAACTGCACAACGCTTCAAAGATGGATAGGTTTTCTGAACTTCATAGCCTACCTTTTTTAAAGAAGCATGATTTTCTTTGATAAGATCAGCATCACTGCCTTGCAGCTTATTTGTCTTTTCCATCAAAGATGTGAGGTGCTAGCATAAAACTACATGTACGGAATGACATTTGTGCACTTTACCTGTTACTCTCCTACGTTTGGTACTGCTGTCCAAATCCGATCAAAAATAACCAACCACGCATTTAGCCGCTGCAAGATGGATGCAACACAACAGATAAACATCGGCCAGTTGGTGAATGTTAATTGCAGAAGCAAAACTCTGCATGCACCAATGCACAGAATATATATCTATGCATCCTTACTTAATAATAGGGATGTCCCGATCACCTTTTTTTGCTCCCGATCCGATTCCGATCATTTGATTTTGACAATTCGCCGATACCGATTTTTCCCGATCCGATCTTTATGCAATGCATTAAGAGAAAAAAAAGAAAAAAAGCATTCAAGTTGTCCCTTAAGGTTATTTTTTTATTTAAATTGGATATTCTATCCAACATGGATATAGCTTCTTTCTTTCACAGCAGCATTGGATATGTTCAGTTGTGCAGCATTGGATCAAAACAAAATAAAGCTTATCAGTACTCGTTAGCTTACTGCTACAATTAGACACTGCCCTGCCCACTCTGTTGCCAGATTTGAGAGAAATAAGCAACCAGGTCTATGAAAACAAGCCCCAAAGAAGCAACACATACATGATGTTGTGTAATTTGAAACCAAAACTAAGGCCTCAGGATGACTTTAAGACTTGAACATGGTCATTTTTGTTTTGTACCATTGAATACAAAAAAAAAAAAAAGTATTTATTAAAAGAAATTAAAAAAATCCCGATCCCCGATTTTTTTCTCCCGATTCCGATCTTTTGAAAATCACGTGATTGGCTCCGATCCCCGATCACGTGATCGGATCGGGACATCTCTACTTAATAATATTGTATATTTCACCATAATGGAGATGTATGTTGGCAATAATCAGCAATATGATACGTTTTAGCCACACCTGCACAAAGATTTGCATATGAGGTAATATTCTATACAGTATCAGAAAACAGAATAGCTCAATACTCAAGTGTAATGATCTTTCATACACCACTATTTCACTGATTGAACCCATTGTGAATAAATCATAATGTCAGGTCCCTGTTCTGTTCAATTGCTACCCTAAAATTGGGTAGCCTATAAAGAATTCTGAGAAACATTACACATGCTAGCATCAGCATCTCTCTCTCATTTGTATTGTTATAAACTCAATCACGACACAGTTATTGTAAATGTCTTGAATTTTCTCTTAGCAGGGCACTTAACCGTCTCATTGGTCCCTGTGTACTGAACCTTCTACTACCAGCGTGATTACCGTCCCCCTATCCTTCATATGCATGGAAGAATTAGCTAATTGCGGCTGTGCTATAAATCACATTAGCTCAGTAGGTGTACGATCACAGTGGGCGTTTGTTTGCATTGTACCTTTTATTTATTGCTCCATTTACCCGCATGCTGCAGTGTAATCGATATCTCCGTTTGATGCCTGTGTTGTCGATGCTGCATTATTAGCGCTGTTGTGTAGCTTGTAAGGTTCTGATGACTGCCTCACCTCATTACAGCCGATCATTTATTCCCTAACGCTGTCTTTCTTCACACCAAGCATGCCGAGCCCCCTAAGAAAAAGAAACAGGCGTTAATGAGAAGGCTGGTGGGAGCGTGGGTCCAAACAGTCAATTGACCTCAATTGCACGCGACCCCCATTGCGGAGGAGCCGGTTGGGCTTCTGCTTCCATAACCTTGGTGCACCGTGGGCCCCTTCTCAATAAATCAAGAGCCAGTTAATGAGATTAGAGCGCTGCACAGATCAATGAGGACGGCTTCTCCATCCTCCGCCGTAAGCCACTCGCACAAACAGCCAAACTGATTTAAAGTAATGATTTTCTTCCCCTCGGTGAGGATGGGAGAAGTTTGTCTGTCTTGCAGAGGAGGTGGAGGTGGAGGTGGAGGTGGAGGAGGAGGGGTGATCTCTAAGGGAAGCCGAGGTGTAGCATCAGACAACTCGGCTCAGGCTGGGAGTTTGCTTTAGAGCTGCAGTGTTTACCATTTGGACAGGCGTGCATAAGCAATGTAATCCACTGGTGATGTGTGTCCAAGCTGGCTGAGTGATGGGGAGCCGCTGTTCTCTCAAGTCCTCCCGTCGGGCGTGTAGACACTAAACAGATTGCTTTATTTGTACTATAAAGCTGTCTGATAGGCAGCACATAATGAAGCAGGTCGAGCTGAGCTGATAAGTGTGGAGAGACTTTTACACGGGTGGAAAAGCGAGAGTTGCTGGTGGTGAGCTTCACTGAACTTCTCGTGTCGTGTGCTCATTGAAACACTAGGTCCAGACGTTGTGTTTGGGAGAGAAACACAGGGATTTTAGCCTTTGCAGACCATTTACATGCACACAAAGCTATAGAACACACCACAGGAAAGAGAAAACCACAACAAGTCCTCTTTAAAATGTTATGTAATGTTTAAACATGCAAATGAGGCGTTATGTAATGCTACATTTGGTGAAATTAAGAGACGCAAATAGATAAGGTTAGTTAGTTAAATAAAACCCTCATGTGTATTTTTGGATGTTTCTTTGTTCCAATAGTCTACCTCATGTCAGTGACGGCAAAATGCAAAAGCTGATCCCAGTCCAACATATCTCTGTAGCAGTCTGTGTTTCCTCAGGGTGTTGATGCTCGCTGATCACAGGGATGTTTTTTTTCTTCATTTAATCGAAACCACCACTTCCACCAGTGTTTGTTCACCAACACACACACACACACACACACACACACACACACACACACACACACACACACACACACACACACACACACACACCCCCCCCCCCCAAGCCCTCTGAAGTGGAAGTCCTCTCAGCTCCTCTGCGGCCTGCAGGCGTCATCTGTTGGCTGCGAGAGCTGGACAGAGATCTTTATCGACAGATAAGTGGAGCCCTGTGGGGCCGAGCTGTGAGTCCCAGTGGAGGGAGAGGATGAGGAGGAGAGGTGTTCCCAAGAGGAAGAAGAGGGTACTTTTTAAAGAGGCACCATCTCAATTTTATTGACATTTGGCAGCAAACAATTACACAGTGTTTTTTCAAGACATAGTAATTGTACATCTTAAGTTTGTCTGTCGGAAATGCCTTTTTTCTTTTTTTTACAAAAAGATCAAATAAAAACAGTAAAAAGTACGAACAATACGAACATTAGGGAGTGATCATGACTTCACAGTGAAATCACACGTTTGTAAAAATACTATCTGGCCTTTGAGGTTTTACGAAATCAGTCCACTTTCTCCATCGTGACACAAATACCATCTCAATCTTGTTCCTCCTAACACCTAATGGACACTTTGATTCTTAAAGACTAATGAGTGGTTCAGTATTTATTTTTGTAGGCAGACACGGAAGTTAGCATCTACCTCGTTCCCTACATAAAAAGCCAGTGGGATTTCTCCATGTGATTTTGGATTATTGCCGAAAGTAATCTCAGGAGCAAACACAGGTTTATGATACTTACATGTTTTGTTCAGCAGGATAATCTCCACATAATAACAACACGTTATGATTTCTGAAGTAAAAAGCTAAGCTAAAGGCGGCTAACATTATTTACTGACATATTTTATTTCGTAGAATAAAAGTCTCTTCCGTTTGTTTTAACCACAGACCTTATTTCAGGCTAGCAACCAAGAACATTCAAGAAAACCCTGAAGACTAAAAGTGATAATTTATCCAACCTTATTTCTGCCATACTGCTTCACTCCCTGGGTGAAAGAAGATACAACACAATAGAAAAGTATATGGAGAGATGGAGGAAAGATAAGAGAGAAGCGGGCTTAATGGTGAAATGCACTGGGAATTAAGATAGATAAGGAGGACAAAGCAGTGAGGGAGGAAACCAACACATCCAGAAAAGGTGAGAAGCCAATGTTTCCAAAATAGCTTCTCCTTAGCACCTACTGTACCTCCCACACTCTGTCTGACAGGGAGAGAGTGAAGCGGTCGGATCAATGTTCTCTGCTGTCCTTCAAAGATAAGTGTGTTCACCAAAGTGTAGAAGTGTGAGACCCAGGTCATGAACTCAGATGTCACATGCTGATCAAATCAGATTCACAGCCAATAGTTTAAACAGTGTTAAAGAGCACATGTTCTGCTGATGTTCAGGTGTATATCAGTATGTAGTGTCTCTACTTTAAAGAGTCCTCTCCTGCTGATGTTCAGGTGTATATCAGTATGTAGTGTCTCTACTTCTTTAAAGTAGAGACACTACATACTGATATACACCTGAACATCAGCAGGAGAGGACTCTTTAAAGTAGAGACACTACATACTGATATACACCTGAACATCAGCAGGAGAGGACTCTTTAAAGTAGAGACACTACATAGTGATATACACCTGAACATCAGCAGGAGAGGACTCTTTAAAGTAGAGACACCTCTAGTGTCAGATGTCAACATTTGAATCTCAGGTGAACCCTAAACCTAACCCAGTTAATTCACTAGATGTCTATATTTCCTTCTATTCTGTACAATCCCTGTCAAATGCATGCTGTCACTTCGTAGTTATTATAATTGTTTCTGGGTTGGGATCCCCCCTGTTGCTTTGTTACTTGCAAGTCACTGAAGCTGATTTACCAGCGGATATGACCATCAAATACCATTCTTATTAATCCCAAAGTTTAGGACAGTTGGGAACAGTTTGCACCTCATGGTTACATTTGTTGACAAAGCATTTGCTAGGTCACAAAAGTCAAAATCTAACAAATACAACTTACTACCATCATTATACACTCAGACATAAAGATTGGAGAAGCGGTAGGATACCAGGGCATAAGCTCCTTCAAGCGCGCTGAAAAGTTCCTTGGCATGTACTGCACTATTCCAGCATTTTTAGATTTCAGAATAATCCTCAGACAAACAGACTAATCAAATATGTGCATGTCAAAGCACAGTGGAAGTCAGTGTGTGGCCGCGCACTCAGACGGGCAATAGATTGCAAAGTTGACAGCCTTAGAGACGTCATCAATTCATCACGCGTCAATGCGCCCACCACCATCGATTCACTCGTTAAGCCTCTGCATCTGGGCTCGCTCTCAGTGTGTTTCAGCGCCACGCTGCCAGATGCTCGGGAACTTGGCGCCCAATATCGGTGCAAACGTAAACCGCAGATATTATGCAAATGAGTACAATGCTGTTGCTCTGCACATACAAAGCAGAGCGCTGAAAATGAGACGGTTTACTGAGTGTTTGAAGCTACAGTACAAATGCAATACACTGCAGATACAGAAAACACAATGGGATAACAAAAACCATTTCACCAATTTAACAATGAATATAAAATATACTTATATTTTGTTCCTGTAGTTGTTATAGGTTAGTATCAGGGTATTACTGTCAAGTTTCTGTGTTTGGTCGGTTGTCTGTCTTGTGGTTGGTCTTTTCAAGTGCATTCGTGTATTTTTGTATTTTCTTGCTTCTGTATTTGCAACTTTTGTCTGTATTTTGTTGGTTTTCCTGTATTCAGAGTGCCTTTTTATAACTGACTATGTTTTCGATATGTGTTGTCTTCATTTGGAGAACATTTGTATTTGCTTGAGTTGTCTGGGTTTGAAGCATTGGATTTTGTCTCTATTTTCCAAGTGTATTTATGAGTCATCAATGTTTTTCTTGTTTCTGTAATTGCTTTTCTTGTCTTTATTTGATGCTTATTTGTCTTTTTTGAGTGTTCTGTATTTGTTCGGCATGTCGGATTTTGTATGTTGTCCTACTAAATTTGTTTATTTGGTTAAGTTGTATGTATGTGAACCATTATATCATGTCTCTATTTTCAGATTGTTTTGTGCATATTTCTATATTTGCCATTTTCTTAATGTCTTTCATTTTTTGTAAAGCACTCTGAATTGCCTTGTGTTGGGGCTATATAAATAAACTTGCCTTGTGTGTTCATTCTTCTTTTTGTATGTACATTTGATCATTTGGCAGTATTTTCTGCATTTGGCTGTGTTTGTATTGGTAAAGCTGTTTTCTTCAGTTTTAGGTTTACTGTGTGTTTTCTAGCCGGATGTGTTATGTGGCGAGCCGAGACCATGCGGATCAAGCCTGATGTGGAGCAGGAAATGAAACAAGGTTTGTATTGATTTCTCCGGCGAATATGAGCATGAAGCAGAATTCTCATTTCAGCATCAAAGAAAGAACACAGAAAAGTAAATAGGTAGATGCAGCTTTACCGATTGTATTGGTGATTATAAGTGAACGAAGTAACCAGAACATAGTGACATCACTATGTAACCCTCACGGACCTACTGGGTGGCGCTCCAACATATTGTATGTGATAGGCTAAGGGGCGGGAGTCGCGGGACATCTCTAATTTAAAAACACCTGAACATCAGCAGGAGAGGACTCTTTAAAGTAGAGACCTACTACATACTGATATACACCTGAACATCATACATACTGATATACACCTGAACATCAGCAGGAGAGGACTCTTTAAAGTAGAGACACTACATACTGATATACACCTGAACATCAGCAGAACATGTCCTCCGTCCTTTAATGCAGTTGTCAAGTTCTCATTTTAACCAAGGAGAAGTAAAACCATCAATGATAGCTACTGTACTATAGAAACAAATTGACCCTGCTATTAAAGTTATTTTGAAATGATTTGATTTACATAATAAGATCCGCATTTCACCACAGGTGGAGCCTACTTTTTTTTTCAAGGTATTTTTCAGGGTATAAAATTCAACATGTTTGAGCAACCCAAATACTGGGACTCTCCTTTAACTTAAACATTATCTTGTACATTTTAAATTCATGTATTGAAAGTGTATATATGTGTCTCTTTGTGGGACAGCAGAGGAATGTCTCT